GCTAGGCATCCGCCACCTTTTGGTTGGCCTACAAGTTAGCAAAAAACTGTTGAAATAAGGCACAGTTCTTTTCCAAGTTGTTCCCACTTGTTATGGGGCTCTAGTTGTAGGAAGACTGGTTCCATCTTATACAAAAAAATTAATTCAAAATTAATCATAGTTTTAAGTGTAGCATATAAGATATAAACACTTTAGAGAAAACCTTCAGGATCTTAGGCTTAGCAAAGATCTTAGACAAGTCACAAAAGACATAATCCATTAAAATACTTTAAAATTGGAGTGCATCAAAATTTTAAATGTGTTTTGTGAAAGATCTTATTAACAGCATGAAAAAAAATAAATCTCAAAGAGAAAAAATATTTGCAAATCACGTATCTGACAAAAGACTCCTTCCTATTAGGATGTATGGAGAACTCTCAAAAGCCAACAGTGTACTGTAATCCTAGCTACTCAGGAGGCTGAGATCTGAGGGTCGAGGTTCAAAGCCAACCAGGGCAGGAGAGTCTGTGAGACTCTTATCTCCAATAAACCACTAGAAAACCGGAAGTGGCACTGTGGCTCAAACAGTAGAGCGCCCAGGCCCAGAGTTCAAGCCCCACAACTGAAAAAAAAAAAAAAAAAGCCAACAGTGTAAAAGCAAACAGTCACATCACACTATCATATCACAGAATGCTACTCAGTAATAAATGAAAGCAAAACTATTGACTTCAGGGCATTATATTGAGTAAAAATGCTAATTTGAAAAGGTCATTACAATTCCACCTACAGAACATTCTAGAAATGACAAAAATATGGTAACGGTAAACAGAGTAGTGGTTGCCAGGGGTTGAGAATGCTCAGGGTGTGTGTGTGTGTGTGTGTGTGTATGTGTGTGTGAAAGATATGTTGGGTTGATAAATTGTACCTTGACTGGAATGTGGGTAACAAGAATGGAATCTATGCATGTGATAAAATAACAAAGAATTATACCCCAAAACATTGTACTAATGTCAAACTTCCAGGTTTAGTTTTATCCTATAAGTATGTAACTGTGTCCTAGGCCAGAGGTCAAACTGAGTGTTCCCACAAGGTAGGGGAATCCATTTACCCACAGAAAAAGTGAATGAAATAATGGTAATGGCAGGATTTTCATCAAAATGGCCATTTTGGAAAGATAGAAACTCAACATCTCAGCCTATCTTGGGGTTAAATAGAAGAATTGGGGCAGGAGGTGAGTGGCATGCTTTGTTAAGCAGTCTTGGTCCAAGTGTGGTCAGGTTGAACATTATCTCACTTCTAGCTCTGAAGTTGTCCCCACAAGTTCTTATTGCCGAGGAAAAAAGAATCCAGTTGCCTTGAAATGATTCCTTCTGCTTCAAGGATATTATCACGGGGTAGTCTGTCTGTAGGCTCCTGTGTTGTTGGAGTCCTGGGTGGCTACAAGTTAAAGAGATGCCCGGCTTTTATCCTGCTGAGTAGAAGTCAGTGTTTTTAAGTAATAACAATTTCTAAGTACCAGTTTTAATTAGGCAAAATGTACAAACTGGGGGAAATGGAATGGGGGGTACATGGGGCCTCTTTGCAACTTCCAGTGAATCCGTAGCTATTATTACTCTGTAAGTCACCTTGCCCTGCATCTTAGGTGCCATTAACGGCTTACAGATATCATCCAAGGAAGACATCCACTTCCCGGATTTCATGTTCTTCCTGTTTCATTGCAGACACACGCTGTCCGCTGTCTCTTCTCATGCTCAGTCAGTGCTATAGCATGATTCCTCAGCTTATCTCCAAGTTGTCTGAGGGAAGGATTTAGGTTTCAGCCCAAGATTTCAGAGCTGCCATTGGAAAGGTTATTTAGTGCATGTGGACATCGTGCACGGTAGGAGGCAGAGCAGGGACTGTGTTTGGGGGTGTCAGGGGCCTGCTGGGGACCTGGTGAGCTGGGACTGCAGGTGCTTTTTGAGGCACTCTGTAGGAACACAGTCACACCCCCTCAGGTGGCTCTGTGCTGGGAGAAACCACTTGCCAGGTAATCTGAGCACCTCACCCCCTTTCTGGAATGTTCTGAATGGAAAGGCCTCCCAAGTGCTCTTTGCTAAGGCTGTTTCTCATGAGCAACCTGAGTCCCAAACAAAGAGCACACTGCTTCCTCTCAAATGAATCCATTCTTTGAACTCAGTGCTCTCAGCCACGGCAGCACAGCGCTTGGCTGCACCCCTCCCCAGGATCCTGTCAGGCTTGGAGGGCATGGAATATTCCTGCTTCTGATTGTGCCCTGGGTAGTAAGTTCTTTTCCTCTGATCCATCAGTATTGTGCTTTATGCCAACATCTAGGAAACTTCCAAGGCTCATGTGTTAGATAGTGCATAGGATAAAACCCAGAAGTCTGTTAAAGAGACAGACTGGGTAAAGAGTCAGACTGGGTAGCATGTTGTCCCAACCCAGCCTTGGGCTCTAAGGAGAACTGGGATATCTCAGCTGGTTCTGATGTCTTTGTCCTTGGTGTTGAACTGTCCTCACATTTCATAATCCCCTGGCCTCTTTTTTTTTGGTCGGTCGTGGGGCTTGAACTCTGGGCCTGGGCGCTGTCCCTCAGCTCTTCAGCTCAAGGCGAGCCCCCTACCACTTGAGCTACAGCGCCACTTCCGGTTTTCTGGTGGTTTATTGGAGATAGGAGTCTCATGGTCTCTCCTGCCTGGGCTGGCTTTGAACCTCGATCCTCAGATCTCAGCCTCCTGAGTAGCTAGGATTACAGGTGTGAGCCACCAGTGCCCGGCATTGGCCTCTTTTTTTTTTTTTTTTACTAGTGATGAAATCATACCTTCACGAGGTCAAAATTAGGGCCAAAATTCAGGCTAGGTCACGGCCAAAGGCTGGGCTTGTCCAGAGCTTATCCATCTCTGTGCCCAGTCATCCTAGGATCTCCCTGCTAGAAAGTATCAACTCCATCTGTCTACCTCTAGCCTTCTCAAGTCTGCCAAGAAAGAAGATGCATGGGGGATAGGAAATGGTATGAAAGGCAGAATACAACCTTATGTTATTCAAATACTTCACATTCATGGATGAGCATCTCCAAAGTGAATCATTAATTGTTCTAAGAACACACAAAAGAGAAGGAGACAGAAAAGCTGATCCTAGAAGAAGCAAGAGTATTTGGAATTATATTTGGGGTTATGTTGAAGTTTGAGCCACTTTGGATTTGTATTTCTGAGCTCAGGAAAGCCCATCACTCTTTTTGGCAGTTTTCCTCATGTGTAATATAGAATAAACTTGGAATATGTCCATCGGGGATTGCTGCAATGACATGGAATAAACACCCCAACATGGAGCGAATTGCTGGCAACATGGTGTGCCCTTCTCAACTTCTCTTAAGATTGAGTCGTTGCTCAACTAAAAATGGATCCAAGACCTCGATGTCAGGTCTGAAACCTTGAAACGATGTTAGGAAGGGGGAGGAGAAGCAACAGAACTTACTGGCATAGGCAGAACCTTTCTGAGTAGAGTTGCAGGGCTCAGGAAGTTGAAGGGATTCAACAATGGATTGCATTGAACTAAAAAGTTTCTGCACAGCAAAGGACGTAGTTACTAAGCTAAAAAGTCAGCCAACAGCTACACATCTAACAGGGGCCTAATATCCAGAATGTGCAAGAAGCACAAGAACTTGTCTCTCAAATAAATAAACCAATTAACAAATGGGTAAAGCAGCTAAACTGGGATTTCTCAGAAGAAGGAAGTATGATCAATAAACACTTGAGAAAATGCGCAATGTCCCTGGCCATAAAGGTAATGCAGATCAAAACAACTCTGAGATTCCACCTCACCCCAGTAAGGTTGGCTAACATCAAGAATTTGAACAACAAGAAGTGTTGACAGGGCTGCTGGGGAAAAGGACCCCTATTGCACAGTTGGTAACCGTGTAAACTTGTGTAACTACTTTAGAAAGTGGTTTGGAGGTTCCTCAAAAAAATGAAACATAGATCACCCTTTGATGCTGCCAAACCACTTTTGGGCATCTACCCAGATCATCACAAGCCAGGATATGGTCAAGACACTTGTGCATCCATGTTCATTGCTGCACTATTCACAATAGCCAAGTTAGTGGATCAAGAAATGTGGTACTTTTTTAGAATGGAATTTTCCTCATCTATTAGAAATAATAATATGATGTGATTTGTGGAAAAAATGGATGGACTAAGAGTGAATCATGTTAAATGAAGTAAGCCATTCTCAGAGAGACAAATGTCACTTGTTTTCCCTCATATGTGGAAGTTAGATCTAAAATACAACTAAATAGGGGCTGGGAAGGTGGCTCAGTGGTAGAGCGCTTGCCTTGCATGCCTGAGGCCCTGGGTTCGATTCCTCAGCACCACATAAGCAAAAAGAAAAAAGCCGGAAGTGGTGCTGTGGCTCAAGTGGTAGAGTGCTAGCCTTGAGCTGAAGCACTGAGGGACAGCGCCCAAGCCCAGAGTTCAGGCCCCACAACCGGACCAAAACAAAAACAACTAAATAGAACTTATACAACGCTCTATACATTTAGACACCAAGGGACTGACTGGAGAATGATATGCTTCTGGGGGGTGGGGAGTCCATGGGTGTAACTTCCCTGGACAACTAATGTACTGTTTGACAAAATGAATATCAGGACGTGGAAACTTGATTTTGGGGGGGATGGTAAAGAGGGGACGCAGGAATGAAGGAAGGGAGGGGGAGCAAATGCAGCCATTATATTCAATGTGCATTCTGTAAAAACTGAACTATGTAACTGAGGGGTAGGGCTGGGAGGGGAAGAGCTGGAAAAATGATGGAAGATGTGGCATTGATCAAGATTGCATTGTGCTCAGAACCTGACCCATGCAATAAAATCCTCTTCTACAGCTACTTAAGAATAACAACAACAACAAAAAAAATCATGGCAGATGAGGAGAGGAGATAGAGAAAGGCATTTCTCTAACCCTCAGTCCTCAACCCTAAATTCATTTGAATGATGCCCAGAACATAGACGGAACATCAGGCGATAGTCATACATTCAACCAATGCTTTATTGTTTCTGTCAAGAACACATCAGATATTTGAGGGATTCCATTTTGGGGCTGTAAGCTCACCAGCTTGTCTGACATTTTTGGACTAAGCTGAAGGTGAATGAGATTATGAGCTGGAATTTTCCCTAGAGGATGGGGGTGATTAAAAGCTTCCCCATCCCTGGGTGCCATAGGCTGGCTACAGCTCGGTTTTAGGGTAGGGCTCTTTCCGGTCCCCATAGTCTTGTGTGGAAGCCAAGTCCACGGCCTCTTGGATGCTCTTTGCTGCCTTGAGCCCTGATTTGATGGCAGTGTCAATCCAGCCATGGGGCAGGGCTGTGTGCTCACCAGCAAAGTAGACCCGCCCTTCAGGACGGCTCAGCTCCTGGGCATGGTCCCCATATTGGTAGGGGGTAAAGGTGGCAAAGCCCCCCAAGGCATAGGGGTCCCGGCTCCATTTCTTCACCACGGAGTAGGGACACAGGGCCCGGAGCTCCTCGCTGGAGCAGTTGTGGATGGAGGGGCAGTGGATGGCGGCCAGGTCATCAAAGACCACATCTACCACCCGGCTATGGTCCATGGCAGCGAAGAACAGGGAGTCATCGTCGAGGGTGTAGGAGGCTAGGAGGACTCCTCCTTGGATGGAGAAGTTCTGGTTGTGGTAGTAGATGAAGCGGGAAGGCCGGTCAGTGGTGGACTTGCCTCGGAAGATGCCCTCCCTCTCCCAGAAGCGCTGTGTGCAGGCCAGGCCCACTTTGGTGGCGCTGCTGTAGTGGACAGAGCGCAGCGCATCCTCCTTGCTGAGGGACAGGGGAGGCCGGAACCGGAGGAGCCGGGCAGCCTTGGCCGTGGTGGCCACAACCAGATAATCCGCAGTCAGCTGCACCGTGGGCTGCAGAGGGTCTCGTGTCCTGTAGGTGACTTGGACGTGGTCTGGGAACATCTCCACTGTCTCTGCCGGTGAGTGAAGCCGCACGGTCCCGGGCCCTAGGGACTGATGCAGGGCCTGGGGCAGCTGGTCAAAGCCCCCGATGATTTCATCAAACCTGAGAGCAAACACACCAAGGAGGGAAAGGGAAGCAGGTTGATGGACAGGCAGGCAGGGGATGGGATGCTCAGATTGGACCAAGAGGCTGACTCAGGTTCTGGTCAGGTGTTAGGGAGATCGACAGTTGGCAGTGCCTGTCATTCCAGGGGACTAGAGAAAAGGTGCTGCTGTGGATGGACCAGTCAGGAAAAGGCATCTTCTCTGCTGATACAGCTCCCTGACTCTCAGAGATATTCCTCCTTCCCCCTCAGGGGTCCCCCTGGTTTAAAGTCCCCCTGGGTTTGAGGTGGACAAACATGCAGGAACCTTATGGACACATTCAGCCGTTTCCATCATACCTTCAGAAGATGCCCAGCACAGAGTAACCCCCAAAGAATGCAGCCTAAACCCCACTGCGATCCTTCACCTGCTCTGCCTCTACACTTCTTCACCTTCCACTCGCCCGCACGACACTGCTAGGCTGAATAAAAAGGAGGAGCTATGGGAGCATGCAAGTTGGGAAAGGAAGAGGACTGAGTGCCCCAATGGATAAATCCACCAGGACTCACAGCCTCCCTCTTGTTAGTGTCTATTTCCTGAATTGAATATGAGACTCTAAGAGTGCATTTCAGTTCATTTTCTCCTTGAAGCTACTCTGGGTGCCCAGAGTCTGGGTTTTGCATCTCTAATACATCTTTCTATGCTGAAGAATAACCAGTAAACAAGCATCTGTTTGAGACATCTGTAACCCTAGCTACTCAGGAGGCTGAGATGTAGGAACACAGTTTAAAGCGAGTACAGGCAGGAAAGTCCATGAGACATTTCATGCCAATGAACTGCCAAAAATCTGACATGGAGCTGTGGCTCAAGTAGCAGAGCAGTAGCCTTGAGAAAAGCTAAGGAACACAGGCCTGAAGTTCAAGTCATGCTGTGGAAACTATATAAATAAATAAATGGAAAAATAAAATTAAACTAGCCAGTGTCCCCTGGCGCAGAGTGAAGGCCACAGGCCAGACACACTGCAGGTGTAAGGAGTCTTTGTTGTTGCGTTGAAAGACTGAGACTTGAACTCAGTACCTGACGCTGCGCTCATTGGCTGGTTGAGCCACGCCTCCAACATCAGTTTAAGGACTCTTGATAGTTGTTAGCCAGAGGATCTCACAGTGAGAGTGCAAGTCAGGCAGCAGGGGCATTGCTGGGAGCCCATTAGAGGCCCACAGCTCAGGTCCCAGGCCGGGTCACTAACTCTGAAGGGCGATGCCAGCCTTCTGTGCTTCATCTATCAAGTGGCCCCCTCCCCCAGTCATTCTGAGCCACCCTGAGGTTGGGAACTCCTGCCTCTTCCTCTCTCCTCCCATTTCTAGGGGATTTTTTCAACATGGCCCACCCAGAGCTCCCTTTTACCATTGTCTTCTTTAAGGAGCTGGTGAACCCAACACCCATTCTCTCCACCCCCATTTCCCACCGAGACTCCTTGAAGATGATGATGTCACGCAGGGTTTCTGTGAAGGCCTCATAGTAGCCAGAGTCTGCGTTGAGCAGAACGCCGATCATCTGCACCGCCCCGCGGCTCAGGTTCCCCACCTGGATCAAGAACTCCTGTGAATGCATGCAGGGAGAGAAGACGCACGGGTCAGGAGGTGCAGGGGCCGATAGGAGGCCCTTGCTCTCCTCTGGGGGTAGCAAGGACAGGGTAGAATGGCAGGTGGCACCGGATGGGCCCCACCACTGGACTGTGGGGCGCTGTGACCCTTGGTGGACAGGAGTCTCAGGACCGACCTTGGTGGAGAAGGAGTCGTACTTCTCTAGCACCTGGCTGCAGCTGCTGGTCTTCAGTTCTTCCACAACCTGTGCAGGGGAGAAGGAGGAAGTGAGGACTCTCAGCCCCAGGTAGCCTCAACCCTGCCCCGCTCAGCTCCCAGGATCCACGCTTCCACATGGTGTTTGCCTGAGGCTCACTTTGTGGGAATCCTGGATTCCAGGACTCTCACACACAGAAGTGTGCTGATGGTGGACTTTCACCTGTACGGTTGGACACACAACTGACGTGTGAAGGTAAGAGCTCCAGAACCCCTACTGGCCTTGGAGTTATGGGGAGTGGAGGTCTTCCTCCTCATTCTGGGTAAGAGGACATTTTTCTGCAGGCCACTAGGGGCAGTGTGGTGGCAGAAGGCCTGGCCCCTCTGAGCTGTGAGCAAGGCTGGATGAGAGTCTGAAAGCTGGACATGTTTATTGGGCCTGCGTCAGCACACCACTCCTGAAAGGAGAGGACACTTGGCAGAGCCTCCCCTGAGGGCTGCCTGTCCCACAGAGCCCAGCTGCCCCGCTGAGGTTGCCCTGAGCAATGGGTCCGAGAAGAGAGAGGCGCGGTCCACACTGAGGACATGTCTGCAGAGGTGGGCAAGCATTCCAGGCCATCATCATTCTCACTTCGGACCGCACAACTATCATGATAATAATTGTCATTTGAGCACTGGCACTGTTCTTATCACATTACACAGGTCTTCTCCCTTCTTCTTCACAAGTTACCTGGGAGAGGGGCTCACAGAAGCTGGAGAAGAGCACAATCTCTTACCCTGGATTGCACGGTGGGTATTCAATAGCAGCGCCTCAGGCATGGGCTTACCAAGATGCTTTCACCGGCAGCTATGTTTGCTTATATTCAACATTTAAGGTCTGACAATGCACAGTGGCTGTTGTGCATGTGGCTCAGGTGAGAGATGAAGGCCAGGCATCAGCCTGAAGTCTCAGGGAGGACTTCCCCTCCACTTAGGGGATCAGAGAAAACTTGGGGAAGTTGGAACCAAATGGCTCTGAAGAAAGTGCCTGTGTCTTACCTTCCTCAGTGATTCATCAAAGAGCTGCTCCGCAGTCTTCCCCACCTCATCTTCCCGCACCTGGTAGCCTAGAAGGCCAGGATCACTTTGCACAGCCCCTGTACGCTCACGTACTCTGTTAACCAGTACCCAGGTCTGATTGTTATTGGGGAAGAACTCTTGGAGTCTCAACCCAAACATGCGGACAAACTCGAGGGAGAGTCTGTAAAGTGAATTACAGATTGTTCAGGAGTGGACATGGGGGCTACCAACCCCTCTCTGCTCCCAGCACTGGCTCTCTGTCTCCCCTGGGTTCTCTGGGGCTACTCCTGTCCTCCTTTCATTGAAGGGAATCTGGGTCCCCTGTCACTATGCCAGGCTAACGCCATGCGGCCGGGAGGGCTGGCTGAGCTGGCCACAGGCTAGGTTACTATGCTGGCCAAGCTTGTTCTCACTTTGTTTGAGACCTGTGGACTTCAGACCTTCAGATGTGGCCACTCTAAGCCCTGGAAAGCCTGTGAAATTTACACAGGGAGTGTGCACTGCGTTCATCTTCTCTGGAGGCCTTGGGCACCATTCCCATGCTCTCAAGGCTCAATGCTCCAATCACCCGTGCTAACACTTCCAGGATGGTCTGCCCCATCCAGGAGCTGCCATGAGATACCATGGTCTCCCAGAACCACGCTCATAATCTCAGCATTGGCTGCATTTGATTTTCCAAGGCATTGGCCCTTTGAATAATCTTTCCTCAGTTAGGGAAGGTGTAGTTCTATTCATTAGTAGATTAAAACATTTAGAATGATTTCTGGGTAACCTTGAAGTTGCATAATTAGGACAGAGTACAAATTCTTAGCTTTCAGGAAAGGACTCAAGACACTGATGGGCCTCTTGTCATTGGCATTCTTGGAGATCACCTCTTGGCCTTTCTCATCTGCCTCTACTCCAGGAATCATACCTGTGGTTCGCAGGGACCCTCATGGCTCCCAGCTCTATGTACCACTGAGCTCCAGGAACTCTGTGGGTCTCGATTCTGCCTCCTACACGTCCCGAAGCTTCCAGGACAGTCACCTAGATGAAAGAAAGCCATTGACTGGACTCAATAAGGTCGAGTTCCCTCTACATAGCACTCTCCTTCCCTCCTGGCAGGCCCAGGTTTACCGCCCCTCCAACTCGGAGCTCTCCCCCTGCTATAGAATCAGAACACTCACTTTCTGCTCCACTGGTCCAAGTCTGCACCTACACCTGTTCTTTGGTCCTAGCTCTGCTGGGATGCTCCCTTCTCCCCCTGTCCTTGCTCCCAGCCTGCACTCCTCAGGCCCTCACATACCTGGTGGCCAGCATCCTGCAGAATCTTGGCAGCGGTGAGCCCAGCTATGCCTGCCCCAATCACCACTATCTGTTTCTTTTCATTGGTCTTCCCCAGTCCACTTTGAGCCAGCTGCAGCAGCTCTTCATACTGGGGATCTTCAAAGCATTTGAAGAGTTGGCTGTTGAAGGCCTGGGTATCCAGGCTCAGCACAGACAGGAGAGCGAGAGCCAGCCAGCCCGGGAACATAGCTGTGGAGATGGCAGGGAGGCAAGTGGCTGGGGAACCCAAGAAGTGCTGTCTTCCCCTTCATCTGGGGAAAACTCTGTCACTGCATGTGACGAAACATCCTGGCACTCTTGTTTCCTTTCTTCTTGACCACAACATGCCTTAGTCATGGGCTTCCACGCCTCCATGGCTCCACCGGACAGCATGTATCTCCTCAGGTATCAGTGCTCCCTGCTCCCAGAGTGGTGCTTGTGTCCCAATCAGCCAGACCAGCAGGCAGAAGCGGGAGGTGGACCCTCCATCGCTCTGGGTTTTTCCCAGCACAGAATGAGGATGGAGAGCCTGAGACACTGTTGAAGAAACCGATGGTCTCTGGAATACCCATGGCAGGCCAAAGCTTCCCTAGCCTGAGGGAGATACTGTGGGATCGCATCTGAGAGATAGGCTCACTTTTGTAAGGGACTTTATCAGTCACAGCATTTGAATTCCACACCTGTCTTTGGAGATGCTTTCTTCCATTCCATCCTGGCTCAGTTCTGGGAGAAATGTGCTCCACATTTCCTCTAGGAGGTGATTAAAAAAAACAAACATAGGTATGCATTTTGTGCTAGGTGACAGTGGGTAATGCCTATATTCCTTGCTACTCAGGTGGTTGAGATCCAGAGGACCATGGCGGCTTAGGAAGATGTTCACCATTCTCCATCTCCTAAACTACTAGGGGAAAAAAGCAAGGCTTGGAGGCATGGCTCAAGTGGTAGAGTGCATAAGGCCCTGATTCAAACCCCATTACTTCCCAGAAGGAAACAAAAGAAAGAAAAAGCAGGCGTGTGTGTTTTGTGATTGTTGTGTTCTGGTTTTTAAGGCTATTGCCTCTGCCTTGGGTTGAATTATGTCAAAGCTTTAATCCCCAGTAAAGTGACTCTGCCTACAGATGGCCCCTTCTGAAAAATGGACTGGGCTCTGGTAGGCCACCAGCGCTGAGCTTCCCCCAAATGAACTGTTTCTTGTAAGAAGAGGACATATGGATACAAAGAGAGACCCCTGGGGATGTACGCACACAGAGGAGTATGCACAGCGGGGAATACCATGTGAGGGTACAGTGAGACGGCGGCTGTCTGTAAGCCAAAGAGAGCAAAAGAGTGAAACAAGGACAAAGGGTAACCAGTGCAACAGACAGCCACAAGACACCAGGATGGAAATGAACTGTGCAGCTTGTGGGAGGAGGTCAACGAGAGGGATAGTGGGAGAAAAACAAGGGAGGGGGTAACAATGTTCGACAAGAACTGGACTCATTACCTTACTTATGTAACTGTAACCCCTGTGTACATCACCTGTACAACAAAACAAAACTTTAACAAAAGTCTAATCTACCACCTGTAAGAAACAAAGGTCTTGCTTGTGCCACCTGGTCTGTGGTGTTTTGTTGGGGTGTCCTGAGCCCACGAAGGCTGTCCGCTTCATTATTCCTGTCCTAATAGAGAAGACAGGGGGTTGTGTCTCATCCAAATCTCTAGCTCTAAACTCATTACCACAGATCTTTGAAATAAAGCTTGTGTAAATCTATGTAGGGGATGTGGCAATCTACCCTGGGCTCCAAGCCCAGCACTTTTGTTTAGTTTAGATTACCTTTCCCACATAGCTTACTGAAGAGGCATTTGAACATCATGACAGACAACAAAATAATAGTCTCCCGCCACTCCATCCCATCCATCACCACGAACCTGCTTCCATGCTCCCATCCACTCCCACAGCAAGTATGTTAGACAATTATTCAATCTCCTTTCGGCCCCATCTTGAATCAGAAATAACCCTTTGTGCACAGAGCTTGACTTCCAGTGAGAAGTCACCAAATTATTTGTCGCACGCAGGGTAGAGGAAGACAGATGGGAAGACTAAACTAGAGGGAAATATGGATGGAGAAATGAATGAGTGGATGAGTAGAGAGAGGAAGGCTGTGGAGGATGAGAGGCAGATGCTTGCCAGCTTCAGGGATGTCCCCTCCAGCGTCTGCATTTATTACCAGCTCTAGGCCTGGAGGCTGGGCCCGGCCTGGACCTGTCTTCTCTGCTCGCTCAGTGCACCCTTCCCTTGTCTCTGGCTGTTTTCTAGAAGGCTTCTCCAGTATCTCTTTGCAAGCGAGCCAACCTCGATGTTTGGTTTGTTTGGCTTATGTAATTATCTAATTGCTCTTTATTACATACACATACACACACACAGAGCTTTTCTCCACTTTGAATTCATCCACCTCTTATTTCTTCAAGAGAAAGAAGTGAGACTTATTCCTTCTCTCCTTTCTTTCTTTCTTTTTTTTTTTTTTGACAAGGTGGAATCATTTTCTGTTCTCGCCTCATGTGACTTTATCTACTTTGTATTTTTATTATTTTATACTAGCATATATTAATTGTATGTATTGATACTATATTCAGTGTGGTATTTTAACGCATGCACACAGTGTGCATTTCTGAATTGCTAGACAATTGAGCTTGAAATTGTCAGCAAGTTCCATCACCCCCAATGCCACAAGATGCAAGGTGGCCTTCTGGGAAACACAGAAGCTCTGAGTTGTTCTCCTGAGTGGAGATTCGTGTGTGTGTGTGTGTGTGTGTGTGTGTGTGTGTGTGTGTAGCTACCAGCACTTTCCTCCCAGTTGCTCTGTCCTGGAGAGCAGCCATTGGGGCCAAGGGCTGCTCCCTCCTGGTAAAGGAAAGTAGAGGAAAGCATCTTTGAGCTTCAGGGTTTGTCACAGAACCCAGAGTACCCTATGGCTCTGCTGCACAAAAGAAGTCAGATCAGGAAGCTCATGGCAGCTTTGTGCTCCTCCACTCACTCTGTATCCCTTGGGCTAACCAACCACTTGTGTCCTAAACAGGGACACTGGCTCATACCTATAATCCTGAGGACTCGGGAGATGGAGATGAGAGGACTTAAATTCCTGGTGGCTGAGATCCACTCCTCCCTCTAAACAAACAAACAAGTAAAAACCTATCGAGATTCCATCTCTACCAAACAGTGTATGCCATGTAGTTATGCAGGAGGTATAGGTGAGATAATTGCGGTCTGAGGCTAGACCTGAGACCAAAGCAAGGTCCCAACTGATAAATAACCTGACTCAAAAAGGTCTCAAGTGGTAGATCCCTTAAGGTCTCAAGTGGTAGATCCCTTGCGTAGTAAGTTCAAGGCCCTGATCTCAAACCTCAGAGAGCTGGCCTGTCCTTTCTCGAAGACAGAGGGACCACTGAGCAGTTCAGATCCTTGCTCTGAGTGTTGGTTTCCCTGAAGACTCTATGTCTGGTATGGTATTGATACATTCTTCACCTGTGGGTGTGGAAAGGGTATAGAAACCACCCACCTTAAATCTCAGACTTCAAAAGAGTCTCACTTATATGTGGAAACTCAAAAAGTTAAACCTAAAAACGTGATCTGAAGCCGGGTGCCCATGACTCACACCTGTAATCTGAGATGCTCAGGAGGCTGAGATCTGAGGACTGTGGTTCAAAGCCAGCCCAGGCAGGAAACTGTGAGACTCTGACCTCCAATAAACCACTAGAAAACCAGAAGTGGTGTTGTGGCTCAAGTGGTAGAGCTCTAGCCTTGAGTTGAAGAGCTGAAGAGTTCAAGCCCCAAGACTGACCAAAAAAAAAAAAAAAAAAAAGTGACCTCAAAAAGGAGTGTAGAGCCAGGCGCCCAGGGGCTCACGCCTGTAGTCCTAGCTACTCACGAGGCTGAGATGGGAGGATTGTGGTTCACAGCCAGCTCTGTCAGGAAAATCTAAGAGACTCTTATTTTCTAAGCTGTGCCTCAAGTGAAAGAGTGCTAGACTTGGGGGAAAAAAAAAACAAACCCGAAGGGAAAGTACTCAGTAAATTCTACCATTCAGTAGAGTAACTAGGGTTAATCTATTAAATACTTTATGAAGACCCACCAGGGAGGAGTTTGAAGGATGAATATACTATATAAAAATAAACATATGTGTGGATAATGAAGATTATACATTGTATATGTATATTTTCACACTGTATCCTACAAATATGTATAATTACATGTTAACCCCGGAGCAAAAAGTAAATTCTGTCCCTTTGTCTCCTCCAAAATGTATTTCTTGTCACATGGGAAGATATACTGATGGGCTTGGGAAGTGGGTGGGGCAGGGTGAGGCAGGGGAGGGCTGGACAGGGCAGGGGGTGGGCTGGGAAGGGTGGGAAGAGGGGCCTGTCCAGAGTCTAGGCCTCTGGGTTTTCACAGAAGCTCAGTGTGGTCTCGTACCCTCAGGGAAGATGTGGCTCAGGCCCCCACGGGACTCCAGGTCTGTCTCTGACAGGAGTACAGTCAGGAAACATCTTTCTCTCTCCTGCCTCTGGGCAGCCCCTATCATTTAAAATATACCCCTGCTGAGTGAGGCCCAGGTGGCTCACACTGTAATCTAGCTACTCAGAGGGAGAAAGGTTCAAAGCAGACAAGAAAGAGAAACTCATCTTCAATTCACCAGCAAAAATCTGGAAGTGGAGGCGTGGCTCAAGTAGTAGATTGCTGGCCCACCATCAAAGCTGAGTGAGAATGCAAAGCTGCAGTTCTAGCCTCAGGGTTCTCCCCTCCCCTAGTACACCTATGCCTGGCAGGAAGGTTCTGGAAAAAGATGCCAGGGTCCTGTTGCCAAGGGCACAATCTGCTGCTCTTCTTTCTCATATCTGCCCACCTTGCCACCTACTACTTGAGTGTGTAGACTCCCTGGCTAGGAAATCTAAAGTTCCACTGAGCAGCCTTCTGCTGTGTCTTTGTCCAGGATCCCTGGCCTCTTTGCTGGTCTCCTCCAGGCGTCTGTATGCTAGCAATCATACAGCATCACGCTTAGACTAATAAGTTTCACTCAATTCATTTAAACACTGTAAATACAATCCACAGCAGTAACGAACTCTTAAGCGAGCCCCACTCCAAGGAGGGCTCACGTGGCATGTCACTTGGAGGGGTGGTCCAAGGGAGTCCGTTGAGGTGTCCTCCAGGCTGCTCCGCGTGGCTGGAGGGAGAAGCAGCCGGCTGCTGGCGGCCTCAGTGGAAGGTCCGTTCCACGTGGCGTC